TATGATCATCGAGATCAATTCAATTGATCCGATTGCATATGGTTAAGCTTAGCTGGGCGACATGAGGTCCAGTGGTATCTGAAATGCAGTGGCTAGGAAATGCTACCTTGCGATAATTAAGTGGCTGGTTGTTGCTAGATCACTTGGAGTTTGGGATCACTAAAGCCTCGGGGATCTGTATTTATTGATAGACTTACTTGTATATTTTAAATAAAATTAACGGAGTATTACATATTATTAATTCATATTGAGAAGAGAGCTCTATATCATATACAACTATCAACAAATTCTTGTCCGAGATTGTACACTTGTTCTTCGAGATATTTCCTTCTCGAAATCCTTGACAATTTCTAACAAGTTATTCTGTGGTGACAGTCTTCGTCCCTCACACATTGTTTCATTTGGCAATCGAAACTTTGTAGTATTCCCTCCAGCTTGTCAAACCATTTGTGACCGGCTTGTTTTAGACCATATAAGGCCATTTCTAGTTTCCAGTACTCTGTTTTGCCTTCTTTGTTGATATCTTTGACATACACATTGTGGTTAAGTTTGGCTTGAATATATGCTGCCACAACATCCCATTTTCGGATGTCCTCTCCTTTGTACAGAGCTATTACAATCAAAAGTGTCCATGTTTCTGGATGCATCTGTCACGGAACAAGGGCCTATTCTGAGTCAATAGGAACCATGTACGAAGATATCTGTGGTTTACTGCTATGTTCTATCTGTTGTGATATACAATATGGATGGGCGTGTGTAAGCAATGAGACATTACGTGAACTAAACCAAGTGTGGCTAGCAGGGCACGGCGAGGGATTAGCCGAGGCTCGTGCGTATGGTCTTAGGAACACTTCTTTTGTAGAGATAGACAAGGCCGCTTCATCCCTTTTATATACACATACATGTACATAGAGATTCTAATTAATTTAATCTCCACACCTTGTTCTACCCTCAGCTCCGCAGACTATTAAGCTCCAAACTCCAAGACATCGTACATAACCTCATAACCATAATACTATCCTAATCTGATCTGTTCTGATCTGTACTTGTCTAGACTATTCTATTCTGTGTGAGAGTATACTGGAAAGTTCGAGAACAATAGAGAGGAATATATAATGGGTAATTGGGATGACTTTAGTTCGGCAGATATGGTCTTGTACCTTAGAAAGCTTTTTGATAATCTTGAATACCTTTGCAAATTGATCTTTTGAATATCTGAACTCTTGACCTTTGTTGTGAACGATGAGCACTGGAAATATTCTTGGGATGGACTTAGAGTCAGTTGTGATATAATGTACGAGAACTAAGATGTAGACTTTAGGAGGGATTATTATTTGCTAAAGTATGATGGATAAATGATGTGATCTGTGTTGGACACTTTTGGGGAAGTACCTGACTACCTGTCTAAATACATGAGAGACTGGTCCGTTCACTGCTATCAATTCTCTACATCCTGATCCTCAACCGATCTGTACAACCACTACGTAGCTTACCTCAATTGTGTAGGCACAGCGACTATGTTAATCCATGACCTAGAACATGCACGTCTCGGCGTTATGTTAGCATGGACTAGGATTATAAGAACCTTTCGACATCTTGACATCTTGACATTGCAACTCTTCGACCTCGAGTCACCCATCAACCTCTTGAACCATTAACTCAACAAATTACTGACCCTCCGAAGTATTGAAAGGCTGAGGGCGATGGATAGGGAGACGTCACCTTGTGAATAGAATACTGATGGGTATGGGAGAATTCAATAGATCACTTGGACAGAGTAAGTTGATTGATTGATGGTGAATTGTATTTGTGGATGATTGATGTATAGATACTGAGAGTAAAAAGGCCCTATCTATATACAGGAGTTCCTACCCTTATTCCTCTACATGGTATTGTCTATGATAGCTAGAGTAACTACAATGGTGTCCTCATTGTAGTGAACACGTTGATGTTAGTGTGTAGTGACTAGGAGGCAATAGTGATCAGACTCTAAGGGGTTAACTTTGCTGGTGCACAGTTATCCCCTGAAGGTGTGTGCAGTTATGAACTCAGATTTTTACAACACGAAGCACTTCTATTATTGACAGCATTATCTGTGCATATGTCTCATCATAATAGACGCCCATGGTTTGAGAGAAACCTCTTCCTACTGTAACGGCTGTTAAGCCTAGGGATTCCTGTAGCTTACTGTTACGGCGTGCTGTAGGGTAGATCGAGATCGCCGTTTGCCGAGGTTATGAGAAGGTCAAGTGGTGAATACTATAGAGGTGGGAAGTCGACGAAGTACCATGGCTAGAAGGAAGCGGATTTGCGAGAGGAATACTGTAATAATATTATAAGATTGTGAAGCTGGAGAACTACTTTGTTGTAGCTCCAGCTTCCTTAAATACAAATAACTATCTAACGTAATTCAACTAAGACTGTTGTAATTTCCCATTATGACTCTAACTGTGACCTCAACCATATCAATTCCAGTTGGCGCATTATCTAGTCTCACCATATAAGTGCAAGTGTTGAGGGTGAGCCGAAAAACCTGTTCCGTGAATTTTATCCTCAGGCATTCTGCTTAGACTCTGGTTCCAGAATGTCTCGCCATGACACCTACTCTGGCAAGCGCTGGCAATGAATGCAAGGGAATCTTCGGGAGGGATCTCGGAATACAAGGAGCTTAGAGAATTCTCAATGAACCTTCTGGAAGCATACTGAAGGTTCATGAGGACAACAGGTGTATCAGGAATCTTCTGGGGTATTGTCGAGGAGTCCATGTTATTCTAGACATAGGGAGAACCTTACAGAAGAGGAGTATCTCAGAGTATATTGTTAAGATTATGAGCGCATACAGGTTGAATCTCTACCTTGGAAGGATGCTATATGTGCTCGTAGAACACCAAAGTAGATATAGAAAAGACTTGTGTTAACTGAGGAACGCTTGTATTCAGATGACTTTTGCTTGCTCCTACTGTCTCAAGGCGAGGCTAGGACAGTGTTCCACAGGGTGCGTATGTGGTCTAACGAAGATCTAGGTGGTAGATAAAGGTGATGAGTGGGTCGAAGGGATGACTGGTCTTCTCTAGGAAGAGACAAATAGGTAGATAGTAGCGATAGAGGCTACACGTGGGTCTTGCTGATGAAGAGCTGGAAAGAGATAAATGGTCTTCCCGAAGAAGAGATGGGTAAACAAATGTATTGTTAAGGTAATGAAAGAAGACGTTGCGTGAAGAATAATGCTTCTTCACGCCGAGTATTTATATACATAAAATTACCAAATAGCATGTAGCACACAGCCCCTATGCCCAACAATCTGCTACATATCACCTAATGAAACTAGCCCTTTCTTATCAGTCTTCCTTGCTGGTTTTAGAAATGCATTGAAGTATTATTTGTGTTTTAAGTTAGCTGTCCGCATGGTGTTTCATAATATGCTATGCCATAATGATCCATGAAATACTGCTAGGATATACATGTCATAATATACTTGTCCTAGATAGCCATATCACAGTTCCTACACTATCCAGTACATTCCATTCCATTCTACTCTATACTATTCGATCCCTCATCATTCCATTCCATACTATTCGATCCCATACCATTTCATTACAAATCTATCATGCCCTAATTATGGGTTGCCCTCAAGTCCATGTCCTTGGACTTGCATGAAATATTGGCATGCATAAATCTGCACAGATCTGGGATCTCTTGGCAGATTATAACAATTTTCCCTGGGCTCATAATCATAACAAGCGTTCAAAATTAAAGGTTCATGTTATATTAACTATGCTACATAGAAGCAGGACGATGGATACTCTTGGGGAAGTTATGCTCACAGTAGGTCTCTTTAATTGCTGTCGCGCGTGTTCTCGTGATATGTAAAATATGAATCTATGTTTGTTGGAAATGGAGACACGGAGTGTTGTGGACGTACGGGCCCTCCATTTCGTCTAGGTTCCCGACACGATCTCGTGTGTATTTAAGAGGTTGGAACAGGTAATATGGTAACGCTTCAGGCTACCTATTGGACATATGAGCGGCTGCATGGCGTGGGCGCAAGGAGGTTATTGGGGGTTTTCTATGCCTAGATGGCGCCACACTCGTTTATGCTGTGGCTTAGGCTCTGTGTCGCTTACACTTGTACTTGTAGCGCACACTTCCCACACTTTTAGCCGTAATCCGAACATGACACTCTTTTAGTCAACTTCTACTTTCGTCCATGAATACTGCGCCCATTACATTGCGCGATATTTCCAACAATATTCTCGAACAAAGGAAATTTGGTTATAATGAATGAACAGAGGTTGAGACCTCCTTATATCTTGCTCCAGACTTACTATGTTGTTCACAGCTTAGTGCCAGAACATTCCCTTGTGATATCATTTCTTTCCTACGAGAAATGACCATATCGTTCTCCCTCAATCCATCAGTCTCTTGCTATTTTCATTATCTCTATTCCATCAAGTTCTAGTTTGGTCCATTATACCCACACATACATTACACACTAAACACCCCACGGTTTAGTTTCACAGTAACGTGCAGCTACCATGATGTGACCTAAAGCATGTACCATGGTAAGTTACATGGATAATACAACAGTTCAGAACAAGGCTTAAGTATCAGGTCAAAGGTAAGTCATAGCATGATGGGCTAGCACTGCAGAACAGTTGGCTCTGCAAGGAGAGGGGAAAATCTGTTTTGTAACAAAGATGCTATAATACGGTCAATCTACTGCACGAAAGTTGAACGAGAACTGTTATTATTTAATTGCAAAAGTGGGTAGAGGCGAGTTTTCATGGATTTGTTGACTTACTTTCTTAATCTCAGCTACTGAGAATCATACTATGTTATACTCACACTTAATTCCATAGCTTTCAGCGCCTAAAGTGGCAAAGTTCATTTCGACTCTGAGCTACCCTATCTCATTTTTTCTACATCAACTCTATTCCACTCTAATCTGACACATTTGGATTATCTGATATTGCGTCTCGACAATTCACGCTCATAGAATGCTAAGTCATGCCCTGATGAACATCTGCTTCCTCAGTTGTTGGTTCACAAGTATACTCGTTTTCATTAAATTTAACTTTAACCGAAAGAGGTTTCTTTTGGACCGAGAATTCTACTGCGAATTGGACTTGGTAAACGCGAGATAAATTAGTAGGAAATAATGTCTTTTTAGAGAATAATATTGTACCTTTGCCGAAGTTGTAATAAACGAAGAAATTTACTGTGGAAAATACATGATGGGGCTCGTATCCTGGATGAACATTTCCTTGATAAATAGGAAATGTTTTTTCAATTTGACGATCTATGATATCCCCACCAAGGACCAAGCGATCACACTTATAATTCGAAGAAACAGCTTCAATTGAAGGTGTCAGATGACTCAGAATAGCCGTCAATGACACGACGCTGAAGATTTTCATACTGCGGCTGTGTTGTATGATAAATATTTCTTATATTTTGCGGGAGTGATTAGATTGTCGATATTTTTGATCGCTCAGACTTATCGGGCCTTAACAAGAGAGGAATAATAGGAGCTATGTAGGAGTCTGAAGTAGTTTTTTTCGAGTTATATTGGAAGTAATGGCGAGGGTTTTGAACTAGAAATGGAATGAAAGAGGGAATAGTTTTTCTTATATATATGGCATGGTGAATAATTCCTGTTGAAAAAGAGCTGACCACACTTCACCCAATCAGTTTTTAGTTACGCATCCGTAATCATGTGTCAAGTTATTAATGTTGTAGATTATGACATGAAAGCTCTTGTTCAAATTGAAGTGTAAAAAACTAGACTGGGATATGTCATAAGATATGGTATGAATACAATAGCTTGCTATGATCATAGGTAGGATCATAGCTGAATTCCGGCATAGGCTAAAGCCATCTAGATATTGAAGGTGTCATTTAATCTCGGCCGGGAGAGTGTGGAGCAATCTCAACGGTCTGCACCCTGGTGGATACAGCCCATACATCTTGCCTCAGACTTGAAGAGGCAGAGGAAGTAGATGGATTGGCAACAGCAAAATCTGAACAGCTAGGCAAGAAGCATCCCCCTCCCCCAGATCTTGTCTCTTCCACTCATTCCGCAAACTTTTATAATTTAAAGTTTTGGCATCAACAAACATTAAAAATTTCCCAAGTCCTCCACAATAATATTCCTCTCCAGTCAGGATTCTGGTTTGTACCTAGATCTAGATGGCTTTATCCCTCACTCTCTAGGAGAATCAAATTTCTTGTGAATTAAGTTGAATATAATGAGTGTGATTTCAAGTATTGTACAAAATTCAATCTCATCACTTGTCACACTCGAGGCTGCTATGGTTAGCGTATGGGAGGATTATTGAGAAATACGAGTTATATCTGACACAATGGTCAAGAGGTAAGATATGTGTCATTAGCTAGAGCAAAGTGCAACCCAGTTACAGTTCTAAGGCATCTACAGAACGAAGGATCAACATGAGATGTGGCTGGAGGATGAGGGAAGCGCCGAAAGCGCTTCATTGTGATAGTTGAATGATCGAGTGGTGATAAATATTGGTTCGGGCTAAAAGCAGAAAAGTTGAGCAGCTAGATACTTGGGCATGCGAGTCATGGGCATCCCCCACACATTGTTATTTTATAATTCTAATTAGAAATATCGCACAATGAAATCCGTCGCAAAACGTCAAGCATATGGTGTTGGCGTGTCCGCAGTGGGCCGGTGGAAGAGGTAACTTTCTCTGACAAGCTAATGGCAGGTCATTTGAAGCAATGATGAACAGCCTATTGGAAATATCGCGCAGTGAAATGGACGCAATATTTATGGAACTAAAGTAGAAGGCGACTAATAGAGTTTCATAATCGGATCATAGCTAAAATTGTGGGAAGTGTGCGCCACAAGTACAAATGCCATCCTTCTGCTCTTGGATACGCCCACAGTGTCCAGCTCAGCGAAAATATAAATATTTCGAAAGCTTGCAATGAACTGGAAATGAAGGTCACGCGGTCGAAGTAAGTCGTCTGGTAAAGTAGCTGTTTGATGGTGCCCAGGCAACTCAGGTAGTCCTGGAAACAAAGTTGCTGTCGCTCTCGCTAAAGCTGCCTGTGCGGCTCCAGCTCCACACTCAGAACTCTCCATTGGGAGGGCAAAGAGAGAAGACAAAGCTCAACATGAGGCTTCTGTAACACTCTATTTGGCAGAAAATGCACCTTCTACACAAAAAGTTAGGTGTTGGCCCTAATACTAAGATCACCATTGAGCTCGCCTGTCTGGGGCGACGCAAATTAGTATATCTACAAGCTGCATGGTCCGGTCATGGCAACTTCGCGGACTACCACCAACACTTTTAGCAGGAAAACGCCAGTCTAACCTGCACATGTGGAGAAGTCCCCTAATCACTTTTTCTGTTGCCACCTCGGGCAATATCAGGCTCAGCTCCACAGGCCTCAGAACTCTAATCCCAGCGTATCTCAGGCTCTTGCTTCGGCAGAGGGAGTCCATGCATTCGATAACAGGGTACGTGTCCCAAATTTATTCGAAAGGGCACAACAACAAGTCTGGCTCGAACGAAATCATGAATTGATGTAAAGGAATTTCTTCTTTTCTTTTTACTTTTGTAAAATCTCTTCTTGATTTAGTACCAATTGCATAGCATGGGATTCATTGGACGGAAGACATTCATGTATACTGTAATCTTCGAGCGCAGGATAATAAGATCCTGGCTATCATTTGCTTTGTTGAGTCTGTGTAGAGGCCAACACGTCGGGTAGTTTATTTTAGATTGGGCTAAGTGGTACACGAGGAGCTCACGTGCTGTGCGCGGGCACAATGTTAAATATTATAAATAAATAATTACAAGTACTCCATTCCAATATTCTTCTCCAAACATTCACAAATTTTTGCATATCTTCTTAATCAATTTCCAGAACTTTGATTGTTACAGGACAATAAGATGCCCCACACGAGGCGTAAAAACTCTGTGATACTCGTATCACCTACTCTCACTCCAGTCTCCACACTGACAACAGCCGTACGAAGGCCCTCCCCGCAAAAGATTCTGAAAGAAATTCTAGTCAGGGTATCTCTAGCTCGATTCACGAGTCGACTTAAGACATCGCAAACGAGCAAGAATTCTATCCAAGTCTTCTCCGACCCGGCCTGCGTATAACTTCGAGGATTATCGAACGCCCCTGGGCAGCTATGACAAATGATATAGCTGCTTCGTTGTTGGCCTGGCAAAATACTGAAGCCCAACATCTACGGGCCCTTCCGCCTACAATTGCAGCGGACCTTAAGGCTATTGTGATGTGAAGCGCAGCTCGAGTTATAGCAGGTCTTCCTGTCTCTGAATCTCCCCAGGCTACTCATAACTTAAAATTTAGCGCGCAGCCAAGCCCAAAAAATGAACCGCTCAAAGTTTCTTTGTACACAAGTGCTGCCAAGAAAAACCTGGCCGTACAGATACAATCTCCAAAGGCTGTACCCAGGGCCACCCCCTCGACTAAATAGCAAAGGCCAGACCCTAGAGTTATGATACGCCTAGGGCCTGACCATCCTTTGCGATATCAAGACTCTAGTCTAGTCTGTACAAAGCTGAGAAGCCTGCTCGAAAAACCAGAATTGATCAAAGACATCAGGTCGATTCCTTCTAGAATAGCTCTCGTGGCCCCCTCATCTGATCAAATTCCTAATCTCATGCAAGCAGCCATTGCTTTACAACCCGCCACAGGAGTTGTACCAATCGAAAGACAAGAAAAACGAGAGAATTTCCTCCTCAGCCCAGTACCCAAATACGGGTACAACGCTTCTGGATCTCCTGAAGCTCTCTCTGATGCTGACATCCGGGAAGAGCTTGCAGCGGCGAAAATCAACACAAAATCGATTTTACTATTAGTTGGACACGTAATTTTACTTGCATCCCCTGAATGGGAAGGGACTCTCAGACTAGTAGTTGCAAAACCAGCTGCAGATAAGCTACCTTCCAGCGTTCACTTATTTGCTCGGTCCGCTAAAATTCGTCTGGCCGACAATTGCCCACGCCTTCATGTTTGCCCAAGCTGCCACGGGCTTCACAATATTAACTTCTTCACTTGTATAGCTCGTTGCGGAAATTGCGCGTCAGACTTCCATAATGGACCGTGCGCGACTCCCACCAAGTGTCTGAACTGTGCAGGCCCTCATGCCGCCTCAGCTCGGTCTTTTCGAGCTAACGGAGTATTTGTTTGCACTGAAAAGGAGAGAATAAGGATTATGCGCCAGGAGGGACATGAGTCCTGGCTCGCTCTCAATTTGCCCACGCTCCTTTCTGACCCCCTCACTGGGTCTCCATTGGCACAACCCTCGTGCACCAAGATTCCAGCTCCTGTTATCACAGTAGGCTCGGCATCTAGGTTTGCTCCCCTGATTTCCCTTGAGGAGGAAAAATGGGGGACCGAAACCAGGGTCGAAGAAGACAGAAGACTAAAAGTCTCTGCTTCTTCCAGATCAATGTAGGTAGACGTGGCCCTGCTCACAATGCCGCCCTAAAACCTGCCTCCAAATTTGGAGCTGATTTGGTACTAATCCAAGGACCCTGGGTATCCACAGAACTGACTTGTAGAATAACAAAATCTCACCTGAGCTTCCAAGGTTTCTCTACTCTTCCCATCTGGACAGTCCGGTCTCGAGTAATGATGTATATCCGCAAGGTTCAAGGACTATCTCCTTTCCAGCTGGCCATACATTCCCGGGATCTTTGGCAAGTCCGGATCTCACGAAAAAAGTAACAAGTTGTTGAATGTTAGAATGTCTACAACGCTCTAACCGGAGTAATTGGTCCCGGGGAGAGCCTTCAGCATCCAATGAATACCACAGGAAATCCGGATATTCTTACGGGAGACTTTAACATCCATCACTCATCCTGGGATCCGAAAGCTATGAGTGACAGTGTGGAAGGCAACTCGTTGCTCTCTTGAACAGCCTCGAGAAGACTCAGACTCTTGAATCACCAGGGAAACCCAACACATGATTCCGGTGCTGCTCTCGACCTATGTTCTGTCCCGAACAATGTGAGTGCTTGCGAAATTCGACAAGACCTGGAAGTCGGCTCTGATCATAGGACAATCCTATGTCAAGTATTTGATTGGGAAGCCAAGAAACCTGTACCAGGTAAGCTCCAATTGCTGCCTGTGACTGGGAATTATCTCAAGACTCTATAATGAGCCGGCTAGCAACCCCTCCTCACTTTAAAATTGAAGAGGAGGCTGCGACTATTGTTGACATAATCTCAAGAGCTCTCCTTGCTGCCTGTCCAAGATCACGCAAACAAGCAACAAAATCTGGCTGATGGACTAAGGACTGCACTCAACCCCATTTAAACTTTTACATAGCTCGTCGCGCGGGTCTGTCAGAAACTTCTGAACTACGTGCCTTTAGAAAAGTAGTGAGGAAATCAAAGCGGGCAAT